TGCCCAGGGATGACAACCACAGTGGGCTGAGCCTCAGTTCTCACTTAAGAAAATACCTTGAAGACATTCCCGCTGGCCAATTCAATGGAGGAAATCCCTCAATTGAGGTTTCTCCGTTTTCTTGTGTCTTAATCGTGTCAAACTTACAAAAAACTAACCAGCACAGGGGCCAAGGAGCTCTGTGAGGCCCTTTGTAAGGTCACTAATCCCACTCACCAGGATTCCTCCCCTATAACATAACTATCTCTGGAAGCTCCACCCATAAGTCTATCACCTGAGGGATCCAGATGAATGTGGAGGTACATACTCTTTCAGTTCATTACACACACATGACAGAGCATGAAGTTTGTTGTTGACGCGAGAGTTTTATTTATATGATTCTCATGGGCAGATTTCAAGCATGTTAAGCAAGGCAGCTTCATCGAGGAGGATCCTTTGAGAGAGGATTTACAGGAAATGGAGAATTAATTGCACAAGAGGGTTCAGGCAGAGGGGGCTGGGAAGAAGCTCTGGAGCCAGAAGGTGCCTGTGTGTGTGAGGAGTGTGAGGAGGCCCTGTGACAGCACCAGAGTGAAGGGAGGGAGGGAGGTAGAGTCATGGTCCAAGAGATCTGAGGGCTGAATTCTCCTGTAGCCAGGCACAGAATCTGGCTTGCACTCTGGGTGGAACAGGGTCAGTGAAGGATCAGGTAGCCATAAGTTCATGGAAGTATTTGTCTGATGTTGAGTTGAGAATGGGCTTGCCCTAAATTCATTTATGTTTTTGTGATTAAAAAAAAAAAACGAACAAAAAAAACCCAACCGAAAACACAAGTTAGTGGAGAAGGGGTTCATTTTAGCTAACAGTTCCAGGTTACAGTCCATCAAGCAGGAAAGTCAAGGCGGTTAGAACTTATAACAGCTGGTCACATTGCATCGATAGTCAGCATTAGAGAGAAATGAGTATGTGCATGCTTAGTACTCAGCTTACTTTCTCTATTGGGGCCACAGCCCCTATCCAAAGGAATGGTGCCACTCACAGTGGGCAGATCTCACACCTAAACAATCAAAGCAATCCTCCACAGACACGCCCACAGGCCAGCCTGATCTAGGCAGTCCCTCACTGAGACTCTCTGTCCAGGTGGTTCTAGGTTGTGTCAAGCTGAGGGTTTAAACGAACCAGCACAGGACCATAAGCAGGTAGGAGAAGAATTGGAGAGCAGCTGTGGAGGCTGTTGTTATAATCCAAGCGGATGACGGCAGCTTGGGCTAGGTGACCTGCAGTAGTGGTCAGGCAATGGGTAGACTTCTTGAAGGACTGGCAGAGTGCAGCGGGCGGGGACGGGGAGCGGGGCCTCCATGCTGTGCTGCTAGGAGGAGGAAGCTGCCCTCACTGAAATGGCGATGGCTGTGGGCGAAATGTTTGGAATATGTGATTTGAGGAGAGGGAGGCAGAATGAGTTTCCAGAGGGAAACCACAGAATAGAAGAGGAATCCGTAGGGTGATAGGACAGGAGCCCGAGTGGGAGAACTTAGAGACAGTCCAGCAGCCCCAGATGAGGTGAATGTGACTCCCCAGAGCTGGTGGGAGGAGACTGATGGCTTTGTGGGAAGGTAGAGTTGTCCTCGCTGTTGTATGTGCCGCTGGTTACGTGAGGTTTGAGAAACCCCATATCACCACAGTCTCAGGGATGAATCTTCTGAAAGCTCGAAATCAACACATCGGCAGGGCCAGGGTTCCTCTCAAAGCTCTCCCTGGCCTCTCTGAGCTTCTGGTGGCTGCAGCCTCCAACTGTGGCACCATGCCTGATCTCTGCATGTCCTTTGCCTGCATTTATCTCTGTCTTCTCTTCTGACCAGAATGAAGAAATGTGTCATTGGGTCAGATCCACGCCACTCCGAGAAGAGACCAATAGACATCCCTCATTGTACCTGCAATGATCCATTTTCCCAAGGGTCATATCCAAAAGCTCCTGGCATAGGAGAGAGAGAAACAGATTTTTCATTCACGCCACAATATCATGTCAGTACCTCTTTCATCTCCCTCCAACCTCCAAGCACCAAAGGTGAGAGGAACTTCAGCAAACTTGGCTTTGCACCTATACATTGTTTTGCAGACAGGTCAGGGAGGTTGAGTTTCACACTAAACTTGGAATGGTTGAGAAAGCCATGGTTGTCAAAAGGCAGAAGGGATTGTTACAAAGGGACCAGGCATCTAGAAACTTGAATTTGAAGGTCTTGGGATTAGAAATTTGACCCATCCCCAAATGAAGGAGGCTCCAGCTGATATCTGGATTAGAAAGACATAAAATATGATCAGGCCATATATTCTATTTTGTAACCTGCTTTTCTTGATTAAAAACATTTTCTCGAGTCATTAAATATTCTTCAATAATGCGATTTTTAATGGCCGCATAGCAGTCCATCAAATGAGAGTACCCTCATTTCTGTAACAAATCCTTTTTGGTACTCTGTTGGGGGTGTTTCTGCATTTTGTGTGTGATAAATACACCAAATTGAACAACTCTCATTATAAATCATTGTGCACATCTTTGATTATTTTTAAATGGGCTCATTTAAAATAACCATGAACCATGAATTGCTATTTTGTGATAACAATTTCTGCTCACTGTTTTCTTTATGAACTAAAACTTTTCCTTCAGGCAGAAAAAAAATGGAAAAGAAATTCTGGGAACATCTGGCTTATGGTCTAATTTACTTTAGGTATTCAGCTGTGCTCCTAAATTTTGAAATGCCTTCTCTCTAATCACCTCCTCCCAAGTTTCATCTGCCTTCTGGAGATGAACACGTGTGTGCATCTCCTTCTGCGAACTGTTGTTGGCTTGGAGCCACGGCTGTGGGAGAAAAGCAACATTAGAGTTGTGTGTCCATTGTTACCACATTATTCCTCAGTGTGTGAGGCCCTAGAAAGAGGGAGAGAAAGCAGAGAGATGTACGGGGGCAGAAATTTTTGTTGGGACCCAAAGGACTCTTGCGATAGAAGATGCTCCTGAAAACCATGGCATGCCATTTACCTAGACCATCCCAGTGAGCAATGTAAAGTACATGTTTGTACCAGTGACATTCTTAATGCTATGGAAAAAACAACTTAAAAGAGGGAGGTTCATTCTGGCTCACAGTTTGAGGATACAGTCCATCATGGTGGGGAAGTTGTGGCGGCAGGAGCGAGGGGCAGCTGATCACGTTGCATTGGCAGTGAGGAAGCGGAGAGAGACGGATGCTGGTGCTCAGCTCGCTCTCTCCTTTTTATTCAGTCCGGGATGCCAGTCTGTAGGATGTCACCACCTACACTCAGGGTGAACCTTCCCTTTCCAGTTAATCCTTTCTGGAAACACGCTCATGTCACACACCCAGACATGTGCTTCTGTGGCTAGTCCAAACCCAGTCAGACTATGAAGATTCACCCTCATAATATTATCCCTCATGTTGCTGAGCAGACTGGGGCTCGTAGCAGAAAGAGGCTACATTGTTGATTGGGTAGAAGGAATGGAAGTCTACCCCAGGTTGAACTAACTCAAACCTACCATGTCGTACGTCAAATTGCCAAAGCAGCAATGACCACTAAACAGTGATCTCCTGAAACTGTGGTTTCATGCATCAAAAGCTATTTTGGAGGGTGGGAGATGGCTCAGTGGGTAAGGGTGCTTGCTGCTCAACTATGAGGACCTGAGTTCAAATACCCAGCTCTCATGCAAAAAACAAACAAACAAACAAACAAACAAAAAACCTCAGATGTGACTGCCTACGTACCTGTAACCTCAGGATTGTGAGGGTCAGAAACAGGAGGATCATTGGGGGCTTGTTGGCTGTCAGTCTTGCTCTAGGTTCAGTGAGAGACTCTGTCTCAAAGGAGTAGGCAGGGCAGGACACCTGGCACCCTCCTCTGGCTTCTGTGTGCCCCCACATAAGTACCCACAATTAAAGATAATATGCATATACCACTCTCAACATACACACACAGGCACACATTTAATAAACATACATGCACACACCTATACACACACACTCAACACACACATACACACTCCCACACACACATGCAAAAATATTCAATGCATTGGGGCTGGAGAGATAGTTCAGCAGTTAAGAGCACTGACTGTTCTTACAGAGGACCTGGGTTCGGTTTCCAGCACCCACATGGTGGCTAACAACATCCATAACTCCAGTTCCAAGGAATCCAACACCCTCTTCTGACTTCCATGGGCATTTCACATCATGGGTGCACTTATAGACATACAGGCAATACATTCATACACATAAAATAGAAAATAATAAAAAATTTTAAAAACATATTCAACACGCACATGCACACTCACACACATACACACAAAGGTATTTTCATGTCAAAATGAAGAGGAAGGCTATAAGCTCTGATGACAGTCCTTCTTAAATTTTTTTTGTGTGTGTGTCTACATGCGGGTATGTGCACGTGAGTACAGTGCCCATGGAGGCCAGAAAAGGGTGTCAGATCCCCTGAAGCTGGAGCTGCACGTGGTTGTGAGCTATGAATAGTAGGAATCAGACTCTGGTCCAAGAACACCAAGAGCTGTTAACCTCTGAGCCTTCTTTCCAGCCCAGACAGCTCTTTGAGTAAAGTGAATTCAGCCTTACGAAGCTCAGTGCATTGTCCTTTAATGATCTTTACCTCCCCAGGCACCAGTGAAAAGCGGGCACTGTCTCCAGCACCACTTGGAGAAGCCACACTTGCTGCCTGGAGGCCACAGCCCACTGCCATCATCATGTGCACAAATGGCTGCTCTGCTGCGATGGGTGATGTAGAAGTGAAGCCTCTCCTCTGCCAGCAGGAGCCAGCAGGAGCCAGCAGGAGCCAGCAGGAGCCAGCAGGAGCCAGCAGGAGCCAGCAGGAGCCAGCAGGAGCCAGCAGGAGCCAGCAGGAGCCAGCAGGAGCCAGCAGGAGCCAGCAGGAGCCAGCAGGAGCCAGCAGGAGCCAGCAGGAGCCAGCAGGAGCCAGCAGGAGCCAGCAGGAGCCAGCAGGAGCCAGCAGGAGCCAGCAGGAGCCAGCAGGAGCCAGCAGGAGCCAGCAGGAGCCAGCAGGAGCCAGCAGGAGCCAGCAGGAGCCAGCAGGAGCCAGCAGGAGCCAGCAGGAGCCAGCAGGAGCCAGCAGGAGCCAGCAGGAGCCAGCAGGGTGTCCGTCCTGTTGCCGCCCTCTCTCCAGGGCAGAATCCTTACACTCTGGTATTTTCCAAGAACGTGGAAAAGGAGAAGGTGGACATAAAATTCAAGAAATTTAAGAGAGAGAGAGAGAGAGAGAGAGAGAGAATACATACATGGGGTTCCCTAGGAGACCAGAAGAAGGTGCTGGATTCCCTGGAACTGGAGTTATAAGCAGTTGTGATTGCCCAAGAGAGAGAGAGAGAGAGGAGAGAGAGAGAACCATGGCAGACGATTTTCGTGCACATTGCTTCCTTCAGGCGTACAAGAGCTAGGTAGGTAGAAAACCCTCCAAGTGGCCGAGTCCAAACAGAACTCAGAGGTCTCCTTCACTGACGTCTTTCTGCCTCATCACGTAGGAGCGGCAAGGACAACGTGTCAAGGGCGCACCTCGCAGGCACTTGAGCAAGGAAGGCCAGTGACTGCAGGCCCGTCGGCCCGCAGTGGGCCCGGAGTAAACAGCTCATGGAAAAGGCAGAGGGATAAAAACGGCGAGTCGGCAAACCGGCAAACATTGTTTACTTGCCGCAGCTCCCTCCACCCCACCTGTGTTGCTTATGTGTCAACAGACTTTAGTGGCTCACAAAGGCAAAGTTCCCGTGTAACGTGGTCTCTAGAGGCAACAAGGTCACCAGCAAGATAAAGACCATGCCAGTCAGGATGGTTTTGCCTTTGATCTGACTTGTCAGCGAGGACAAGGTCCCTGGATTTCAACATTATCAGCTGAGAAGATTGTTCTAGACACAGAGGAAACTGACCAGCAGTGACCTCACATGGCCAGCCAGGGAGAGATTTTTCATATCGTCCCCTGTTAAAAGCCTGTTGAGTCCAAGGAAACGCTGGACAGCTAGAATGGGGCCCACACAGCTTTCTACAGTCCTCCCTTAGTTTGACAGCTCTGAGCACACCTTCCTCTTAGAGACAGACCAAGTGGTCTCTATGCATGCACACATGAAGACAAACATACATATTTACAGACAGAAACACCCCAAGTATGCCTGACATGCATGTATACCTTTTTCTACCCCAAGTGCATACAACATACCTATGTATATATGCATGAGCACACACACACAGAGATACCATCTTTAACCTCTTCATACTCAACAATAAGACCTACAAACACATCTGTACACACATGCAAGCATACATAAGATACATATACCCACCCACCCAGCACATATCTACGGATATGTGTATATATTCCCTTACCACAATATGTATTCCCATAGGCACACATAGGTACATGCCTCTCTGTACACACATGTGCACATGCACAAACACATATTTCACCTCAGGCAGACAGGGAGACATCTAAAAACACAGAAATACCTACTGCACACAGAGTGCACACAGATACACAGATGCATACATGCACGCACATGTGCACACAAGCACCTACACTCTTGGTATGTGCCAAATTCAGATACTCGGTGGGCCCCTGGCAGTTGCCTTACTGCAAGTACAAGTTCAGATTCAACCAGGTGACATCCGATTGTGGGTCCTGCTGTGGGGCACCAGGGCTACCCCAGACGGGAGGGAACCTGGATTCTTCAGCACCCACACCTCTCTCACTCGAACTCCAACCCAGACAGCACGGCGGCCCCTTCCCCTTTGTTGCCAGCTCAGTCGTTACTTTGGTGGCATGAAGTGCCTATGACTTTAAAAGTAGGGGACACGCTGAGGCGGGCAGGGGAAGGCAGGCTGGGGTAGAGTGAGCAGCAGTGCTGGGTGACCACTCTCCAGGCTCCCTCTCCTGCTGTGTGTGGCCCCTCTCTGGCCCCCTCCAAGGCCTACTTCCAGCCAGCACCTTTCACCCACAGCAGCTCCCTCTCAATGGGGCCGTAGGGACTGCTGATCTAGGCAATTTCATTATTCAGTTGTGGTCCAGTTATTTAGTTGAGAAATCTAGGGGAATTATTAGCCTGAATCACAGCAAAGATTTCCAGGAAGAATACATAGAAAGACTTTGGAAACCTAGGAACTGAAAAGAGGTCACTGGACCCAGAAGCAGGCCTTCCTTTAAGACACCCAAATCCAGATTTGAATTTAATCCTCAAACACCCCGGACTCCATGGACACCTCTACTCTGAGAGAGGCTTCTGGGCTCTGGGAACCCCACTCTCAACTTCTGTCATTTTCAAAGACGAAGACAAACCGTCTGGACATATGCGCCAGAAGTAGTGGTCCTCACCATAGGCCCATTAAAAAGGAGTGTGGGCAATTTTAGAGAAGGGAGAGGCAGGTTGGGATTGGTGAAGTAAAGTTGAGCATGGTGGTGTGTGTCTGTTAACCGCAGCCTTCAAGGTGTGGAGAAGACAGGCGGATCCCAGGAGCTCATTGGCAACCAGCTTAACTGAACTGATGAGCTTCAAGCCCTGCCTCAAAAAATAAAGGTGGAGCGGAATAGACATTTGACGTCAACTTCTGGCCTCCAACACGTGCATGTGCACCATGGAAATACATATGGTGGTGGGTGGCTATATACACATATCATACATGTGCAAATTATCCGCCCCCCCCCCCACACACAGGGAAAAGAAAGCCCAGGTCACCATTAGCCAGCATCCACATTTTGATACAATTACTACGTTGATACTCAGGATGGACAGACACAGTGACTCAGCACCTCAGCCAGGGATTTGGCACAGTCGCTTGGTAAGGTAAAGACATGTCAGATGAGTAATACCGAGCTGCAAGAAGCTTTGCAGTGGTCTGTCTCCCATGCCGATAAGGTAATCGCCAGTTGACTGGTCTGTCTCCCTGTCTAGAGCATGAGCTTGTTGAGAGCTCGTATCACGTCTGTTTTATTTCCCTTGTCTTCTCATGTCTTCTCAGTACTAGAACAGTACCTGGGGCTGAGATGGCTCCAGTGCAACTTCTACTACAAAAGAGGCATGGGACCTGCGACATGGTAGAGAGGCTAAATATTCAGGGAATGATATCTTAGCGAATGTCCTACTTAAACACTTAGGAAAGCCTATGGGAAGGGCTGGGGCTCTAGATCAGTGCTAGGCACAAGTGTAGTATGATCTGGACCCTGGATTCACACATCCTTAAGAAAACAGCACAAAACAAAAGCTTTGGGAGATATGGTTCTTAGCGTTCCCCCATAGCAGTCCTGAAAGGCTAGAACAGGGGACATGGTCTTAAGAGCATGAAATTTCAAAGGTTTCCACTGTAATACAAGTAAAATATCTTACAAGGAGAACTAAACCTTACCTTAGGGGCTTTAAAAATTTTTATTTATTATTTTTATTTTATGTGTATGAGTGTAATGTTTGCATGTAGGCAGGTGCACCTGTGTCATGTAATGCCTGAGGAGGTCAGAAGAAGTCGGATCTCCTGGGACTGAAGTTACAGATGGTTGTTAGCCACCATGTGGGTGCTGGGAACTGAACCCAGGTCCTCTGCAAGAGTGGTCAGTGCTCTTAACCGCTGAGCCACCTCTCCAGCCCCTTAACATGTTTTTAAAAGGCTTAAAGGCTTAAGAACTTGGTTTCTGAAAATGGCAGACAAGGTAACTAGATCAAACATCTTTCTAAGAGTTTATGAAACAGGACTGGGGAGATGGCTCGGTGAGTAGAGTGTGTGCCACGCAAGCCTTCGAAGCTGCGTTTGAATCCCCAGAAACCGTGTAGACCTGGATGCAATGTCATGCATCCATAATCCAGGTGTGCTTACTCTAAGATAGGAAGCGGAGACATTATTGCAAACTCATAGGCCAGCTAGCCTAGCTTACACAGCAGATAACCACAAATAGACCTTGTCTCAAAAAAGGTAGAAAGCAAGCAATAACACCTGAGGTTGTCCTCTGACTTTTACATGTATGCTGTGACACACATCTGCCTGCACTTACACACATAAACGCACACACACACACACACACACACACCTACACACACACGATTTTAAAACTGAGCATGTAATGGAATATTTAAAAAGTCTCCTGGAAGACATCAAAATGCTGAAAAAGAACAATTGTCAACTGGGAATTCCACAGCCAGTGAAAGTGTCTTTCAAAAGGAAAGATGAATTTAGGACATTTTCAGCAAAACAAACATTAACTGATATCGCTAGGCCCCAACATTAAGGACATACAAAGGACAATGACTTCAGCAGCTTAAAGACCAGGAGGACACAGTGACAAGAAGTAATAACACACAGGGGCTGGAGAGATGGCTCAGTGGTGAGGAGCACTGGCTGCTCTTACAGAGGACCCAGATTTGGTTTCCAGCACCCATATGGCACCTAACAATCATCCTTAACTCCAGTTCTAGGGAATCTGACATCCTCTTCTGGCCTCTGCAGGTATTTCACGCACATGGTTCACTTACATACATGAAGGCAAAACACTCATACACACAAAAATAAAACTATAAAAAATTTTAAAAGTAATAACATGAACAAAATCTAACAACTTGGTGACTGTTTAACAACAAATATAGTATGGCCATATGGATTTGACTTATCCAGATAATTAGAATGTATTACACAGTAGCATGGAAAAGTGGTTCAAAGGTAGAGCGCCAGCCTAGACTCCCCCAGTGAGGGTCCAGAGGCACACATCTGTGGAAGAGCAGTTCCCTAACACGCACAAGGCCTCGGTTCCATTCCCAGTATGGGAAACAGCAACAGAATAAGACTGAATTCATTTTCTTTGAATGTTGCGTCTTCATTAAATCTTTATTATAACAAAAGTTTAAAAAGGAGGAAGAACGTTTTGCCTGTGGTGCTGGGTATGTAGGGATGGAAATCAGGGCCTCCTCCTGCTAGGCAAGCACTGTACTGCTTGCCTGCAGTCCTGTGGCTGAAAGGCCCTGGGAACTGAACAAGAATAGCGGGTCATGATGAAGTTTCATAAGTACCTTGGTTAATCATGAAGAGAACTGCAAACAGTGCAGAAATGTCAGCATCATGAGGGGAGTACAGAATGATAAAAATATTCACTTAAGGCAAGAAAATAGAAGAAAAGTAATAGTCTCCAAACAACGAGAAAATGTACTTAACTAACTACATCGATATTCCACTAAATATAAATGCATCAATATGGTACAAAGATCGTCATTATTGGCTCTTATTCTATTTTTATTTATTTTCATAGGGGTGTGTGTGTGTGTCTGTGTGTGTGTGTGTGTGTGTGTGTGTATGCACAAATGTGTGGGACTGCCCGTGGAGGCCAGAAGAAGGTGTTGGGTCCCCGGAGCTGCAGTTACAAGTGGTTGTTAGTTGCCATGTGGGTGTTGGGAACCAAACTTGGATCTTCTTCAAGAGCAGACAGTGCTCTTAACTGCTGAGCCGTCTCTCCAGTTCCAACAATCACAAAATATTATGGTAACACTGTCATTTTGTGGTATTGGAACTCTTGACCATGTGGCTGTTTAAGGAACTCAATACCAGATCAAACATATTCTACCTCATCTAAGGGACATTTGAGAGGGTGAGGGGTCACCTGCTCGGAGCAGAAAATACAGTAACAAGGTTGAAACACCTGAAAGCAATGGAAGGGGACTTCTACGTGTGGCTGAAGTGGGAAAGGCAGAAAAAGGCAGATGAAGTTCACCCAGACAGAGTTTTGTAGAGCTCTGTTGACCTGGAAAGTCAGCCTTCAGGGCCTGAAGTGCTTAGTCTGGGAGGTGCTCTGGTAGGCGAGATGGCCACTTGGTGGTGATGTTTCAGAGAGAATCCTGACTCCAGAAGGAAGTCACTTCTACAAATTCCTATCTACACCCCAGAGCCATGGATTCCAAGAAAGCATACATCTCAGCTTGCTTAGAATGTTTCTGCTCACGTTGGGAAATTCTCTCCTGTGGTAAATATGATGGTTAAGCTTCGTGGTTAACCTGACAGGACTTAGAATTCCCTCTGTTGTGTCTATGAGGGTATTTTTATTTTATATTTATTTTAGTTTGGTTTTTGTTGTTTTTTTTGACAGCGTCTCCCTAGTCCCAGGCTGCCTGGAAGTCACTATGGGACCAGGCTGACCTTGATCTCACAGAGATCCACCTGCCTCTGCCTCCTGAGGGCTGGAATTAAAGGCACGTGCCACCATGATGAGGTTATTTTTAGAAAGGTGATTGTGGGCAACAGTATTCCATGATCTGGGGGTCCCATACTTAATAAGGACAAAGCACTGAGCACCAGCACTCATCTCGCTCTGCTTCCTGACTATGGATGCCATGTGACAGCTGCATCGTGCTCCTGCAGCCTGCCTTCCCCTCCAAGAGGGACTGTATCCTCCAACTGCAAGCCAGAATAAACCCTTTCTTCCTTAAATTGTTTCTTGTCTGGTATTTTGTCACAGTAACGAGAAATGTAATGAATGCAGTAAGTTACCATCTTCACAAAAGTGTCTTCAAAAAGGCCCCTCCACTGACAAGGGGCACCACACACTGACCGGGGGACATCATTAGCAAGAATGACTAGATCCAATTGTCTCCTTCTTCTGGGGAAGCCAGACGAAAAGCTTTGCCAGATATAGGGCACTAGCCAAGCAAGAATGTCCCTGAGGACAGTTCTAGGTCAGAACGATGGGTTCAAAGAGGAAAACATGTTGTCATAGTTCAGGAGTAGGAAATCCTCATTGAGAGGTTGAGTGAGTCTTAGTTGGACAAAGACCTTGAAGCTCCCAGTTGAAGGACTCCAGGGCTCAGAAGGGCACAGTTTAGGCTTCTGTGTAGAAATCCCCTGATTCCATGCTGTTCAGTTGGGAAAATTCCGTCCTTGTCACCCCACTGGCCACTGTTCCTGGGGCAGTTCCCAGCTAAGAGATGTGGGACATAGGTTCTGCAGGTCAGAACCAGGTCCATGTAATTCCCTTCTGGTGCAGAACCTGACACCAAAATGTTTTGGGGCTGGAGGCAAGGCTCAGAGGTTAACAGCGCTTGCTGCTCCCTCAGAGGATCCAAGTTTGGTTCTCAGGATCCATGTTGGGTGGCTCATACCCACCTGTAATTCCAGCTCCAGGGAATCTAACACCCTCTTCTGACCTCCACAAACACCCCATTTATGTGCACCTATACCCACACATTGACACATATGTATACACATAATTAAAAATAAAGATAAATCTTTAAAAAGAAGAAGGCATTCAGTAAAAGCTCGCCCTACACTCCACTCAACAAATGTGAGTCATGTACACAGATACGCGGGCACTAGGCTAGACGGCATGTGAACAGTGAAGGAAAAATACCAATACGGTCAGTCACAGCAAATTTGCTCTTTATTTCCTGAATCGTGGACTGGTAGGAGAAAAAGAAAAAAAACCTTTTCAGAATGAACAAATGAAATCCGGGTTGTGAACTGGGCTGTGTGAAGAGGGAATGGATTTGGATTGGGTGGTGAGCAGGTGACATTCAAGTTGTTGGTAGAATGACAGGCATTAAGAGTTGGGTGATCAACTGAGCTAGGAAAGGACTGGAAAGACTGGTGGGGACGTTCCCCGAAGCCTCCCTGGGAAGTGGCAGAACCAGGCTTTTCCTCAGTTGAGCATTCTCAAGGCTTCAAAAGTTTATATTCTTTTTGGACAGGCCCTTCTGTGTCTCAGGTTGAGAAATACCCTCATGTGAATTTCTTCTGTGTTTTCATGGAGGCAGCTTTTATCTCCAACTCGGGGGCTCCAGGATCCATGGCTCTCAGCTAGGAGGTAGCTCAGGACTTGGGCACCCTGCCAGAAGAGTCACTTCGGCTCAGAAGGGCATGTACCTGTCAGGAAACCCACACAGGTGTATTTGTCTCAACTCAGATATGGAAGCCACGGTGCCAAGACCCCCAGAAAAGAGCCAAATCTAGCTCTGCGTTCAGGGAAGCCAGTTATGTGCTGGAGTTGAAAATGGAATCTTCCCGGGCCTGTGAGAGGCTCCTCATCCATCAGATAGATGTTTGTGTACACAGCCATCACCAGGATGGAATGAGGTCTGTGGAGGGAGAGAGGGAATGTTCAAGGCCAGCCAAGAATTCCATATCCTCATACCTAAGCTTCCTGGCCCAGAACCAGCCATATCTCCCTACCTCAGATGCTGGTGAGGTTGGGAGGGTGGAGATAAATTGCCACCACCCCACGTGGGTCCCTGGAAAATGATATATCAACCATCCCCATGGGTCCATAGCACAATGCATCTTATAAGCTATTGCTTCTTAGGTCTTAAAATAGCCCGTGCTCAAGGGTGTTGTGCCTCAGCTGAGCAGGCCCCCCCGCAGGCTCTCCTAAGGTGCACCTGAACAAGAAGCTGACTTCCCTAACTCCCTGTGCAAGGCCCCACGCGTCTTCTTACAGTCTGCGCTGCCAGGCTTGGTCCTGCACAAGCCCTGTCTCCCTCCCTGTAGCGCCAGGCCCTCCTTCCATGTTTGGCCCTCTGTAGACGTTAGTTTCCGCACTGATTTGGGAACATGTCCGTACTCCATGGGACACTTTGTTCTGCCATATCGACCTTTGCTTTTCACTCCCTTGCTATTTTAAAATGCAGTTCTCCATTTCTGAGAATCTGTCTAGGGTTCTGGGTGGGGCACATGGTTAATTTAAAGCTGAGGGGACAGAGGTGGAGGAACGGAAGGCTCCCCAGACAAGAGTACCTCATTCTTAACAACCGTGGAAGGTGGGACTGGCCTTCCATATGGTCGTCTGGGCTCAAAGCAGACCTCCGCTTCTCTCTGGTTTTCCCACCATCTAGCCTTTATCCAAATTCCATATCTTTCCTAGGTAGATAGGTGAGCCACAGGATGGCTCTCTCTCTCTCTCTCTCTCTCTCTCTCTCTCTCTCTCTCTCTCTCTGTGTGTGTGTGTACATGTGCATGGGTGTATGTGCATGTATGTATGCATGGGTATGCATGCCAGAGGTCAACTTTTGGTGTTGTTTCTTACAGTCACTCACCATTTGTTTTAAAGATTTTACTTATATTTTAATATTTATGTATATGTGTGTGCCTCTGTGAGTTTATGTGCACCACATGCATGTAGGTGCTTGAGGAGGACAGAGGGTATTGGATACCCAGGAACTGCAGTTATAGGCACTTGTGAACCACCTGATGTGGGTGCTGGAACTTAACCTCGGTCCTCTGCAAGAGCAGTAAACTACTCAGCAGTAACCGCTGAGCTCTCCCTCTAGCCCTCCTCCACACACTCCATTTATTTTGAGACAAGGTTTCTCATTGGAACCTGGGGTTTACTGATTGGTTTGGCTGGTTGGCCATCAAACCCGAGAGATCTGCCTGTCTCTGCCTCCCCAGTTCTGGGATTGCAAGTACTTTATAGTCTGAGATAGCTCCCCAGCCAGGACAGGAGGATTCTTGAGCTGTTGAGTTACAGACATGGATCTAGAGTCCCTGCTCTTGGAACAGTGCAGCCTCACCCAGTCTGAACATTCTTGCTTGTAAACTGAGCACAGCAAAGCAAAGGGCTGCGTAAGGTGCAAGTTGGACAAAAGCAAGAAAGAGCGAGCACGCAGGGCACAGCTTTTTACGTGTGTTTTACCTAAAGCAGGAGTCTCCCTGACTCCTTTCCTGAATTTAGTCTCCTAAGTTCTCTGTTTTGGATTTCCCCTTTTAAGTATTGTTATACTAACAGAGTCTACATCATAAAGACATTGCAGTCAGAGACTAAGCATGTTGATTACTGAGTCCCAGTACCCAGAGCTAAACGTGGCACAGAGGAGAGAATGAATGTTTACCAAGCATAAAGTACTGAGAATGATTGTTCTCAGTTCTCTTGTGACTGTCACCCCTCCCTGGCACTTTTTTCCCTCTGGCAGGATTGAGGCACCTTTGGTCTGCTCTGCCCCTAAGGTGTTTGCTCTTTTGTGGTCCACTCAGCCCTTTGCCTGCCTCAGCTGGCAGGAACCAAGTCAGAGATGCTGTCTATTAGAATTTGCCTTCCAAACATCACTGATTGCCTGGATAGCCGCCCCCCCACACTGAGTCAGTAAAAGGACTGAGAATGCACATAGCACACACCCAGAGGAGATTATCTTCTTGTGAATTTCAATTCTGTCAATCATTATCCAAGTAATCCTTTCTTCAAAGGGAAAAGATCATTAAAAGAATCAACCGTGCACTCTTGTTTGGGAATGTGTGAGCGTGTGTGTGTGTGTGTGTGTGTGTGTGTGTGTGTGTGTGTGTGTGTGTATTAGGTGTGTTAGGGGAGTGAGAGATAGGATGGACCCTGGTGTTCATATTGCTTACTGGTTTAAATTACCTCCTGGGGAATAGTTTCCTCTATCACTACATTTAACTCACGCTATCTCGAAGGGGGCGGGGGCCATTGTCCCCACCTCCCCTCTCACCTCTCCCTTCATATAACCCAGACTGCCTCCACAGACTAGCTTTTGCACAGACTACTCACTGGCCCTGAGCAACTGAAGGCCAGTGGAGAATGAGTCCGTTTTGCTGTGAGTCAGCATGGCTCTGCCTGGCGGCCACCACCGCAGTGCTGGGGGGCATCATTCTGAGCAGATCTAAGAGCCCACGGCAGCTGGGGAGCCGGGTGGTGTGCTTCGCTGGGCTCTGGGGAGGTGCTTGCCTGCTCAGCCTGTCCCTCTGCTACAGCTTACTCCTCTTCTCCTTGTCCTGCTTTCTCATGTATATGTATTCATCTGACCAAGAGCTGTTACCTGTGGATCAAAAGGCAGTGCTGGTGACAGGTGAGTGTGTCCTGGTGGGATGTTGTCAGATTTGGCTTAAATAGAACATTGTTGGAATAGCGTGAGTGACGTGATCAGTTGGATGTGCCCTGGGAGGGGCTGGTGGTGTGAGAGAAGGTGTAAGTGAGGGGCATCTATACGATGATTTTGTTTTGATCCTAGGAACAAATCTTAACAAGCAAAACAGTGACATTTCACATGTGTCACTACCCCGGTAAACACCCACAGACTTCTTTAGGCTTAAATGGAATTCTGTTCTGAGCTGAACATTCAGCCAGATTCCAGCCCTGCTCACCTTCCTTCGAGAAATCTTGCCAGGCCAGGTCTGCTGTACAGTGCTGAATGTCTGGGGATTGAGTTGTGCCTGGAGCCTTTGCAGTTTGACCCGCTGCTGTCTGGAACCCTGTGTCCTGTCTGCTCTTTCTCTCTGAGCGTCATTAGTGTATTAATGCTTCTTAATTAGATCCAGTTGGCAGTGGGAGCCCAGATCTAGTTGCTCATTAGCTGAACCGTCAGCCTTTCACTTCTTTTGAGTTTTGTGCCACTGGAAGTGTGAGGCCAAATTAAATTCCTTTGAGTTGTGAAATGTGTTTGTTTGGTGGTAAAGACGGAGCTTGGATAGGGTTGTGATTAGAATTCCCCAGAGTTATCCTAACCCAGAAAGACCTGGAACAAGGAAGAAAGGACCTGGCTGATAGAATCCTTTGAGGGAAGCTCACCACCCCTGTGGTCCCCTGAGGATGAAGGCCAGTGTTGGGTTGAGAAAAAAAAAAAAAAATCACAGGTTTGACACCTCACCAAGAGACAGACTCTAAAGCAGCTTTTCTTATTTTTGCCTTTTACTTTTAACCCAGTGATAAAATTCGTTCTTGGTATGGAAATACAAGTTGGTGCTTGCTGGAGTTTAGAAGTATGGAAGGTGAGCTTCTGTGAGTTTAGAAAAAAAAAAAGGATTAAAAGCAGACAAGGAGTCCCTTAGTCGGATGGTTACCTACATAGATGCTTGGTGTCACCTGGAGCCTGTTTCTGAGCCCGTTCTGGGAGCCTGGGGGTCACCAGAATCCTAGGAGCTGATGGGCTGGGAAGATAGCAGGGTACAGGACCATGGTTCAAGTCTGTGTATAAAAGCAAGACACCCAAAGACTTCAGAACCATTCTAGGTCAACCTTAGCCGGTTCCCATTTACGTGGAAGAAGACAGAACCATTAACTACACCGGAGATACTTCCTTACGTGTGTGCGTGTGTGTAGGGATCAGCGGTCACCATTCGCAATCACTCTCTACCTTATTTTTTCAAATATTTATTTTATTATTTCTTATTTATGTGTACATGGGTGTCTGTGTGTGGGTATGCGCACATGTGTAGTGGTACCTTCAGAGACCAGATGGCGTTAGGGTCCCTGGAGCTAGGCAGTTGTGAACCACCTGACATGGGTGCCAGGAACTGAACTCGTGTCTTCGACAAGAACAGGAAGTACTGTGACTCTCTGAGCTGTCTCTCCAGCCCACCTCCATCTTATTTTGAGATAAGAGCTCTCACAGAACCTGGAGCTCACTGATTTGGGTAGGCTGGCTGGCCAGTGAGCCACTAGGAACCGCTACCTTCTCAGTATTGGGGTTATAAGTACCCCTTACCATGCCTAGCTTTTTTTCTTAGTGGGTACCAGAGATCTGAACTCAGATCCTTTCTCTTACACGGCAAATTCTTTACCGAGTGAGCTATCCCCAGCCTCAGCACGCTGGAAATGAAATGGTTATAACATGCCGGCTGATCATAGATAGCATCCCCTAGAGGCACACACACACTCCTGGGAAATCAGATTCAAGCTGACCCATGAGAATCTCTAGTCAGCAGAGACACTCCAGCAAACCGCAACATAGCCGAGAAAACAGAAATGCACTCTGCTTGTTTGTCTTGTCAATGTCCTTTATCTTCTGCTTTTAAACACAGGGCTGCGTACACATCCCATCTCACCAAGCCCACAATGGCCTCTGCAATTTGTAGCTGTGTTTGATGTCCAGGACGACTCAAATCTAGTAACACAGCCCCGTGAATAGCCCATATATGAAATGCTTAGCAATTAGAAAATTTGGAACTTTAGAAGACAACTACAGATTTTAGAGAATGACTGAAATGTCACTCTTTATGAATTCTATGACAGAAGCATAGACTTGGCATTGTTCCTGGGAAGGTTCAAGGTCTCTGTATTAAATGGATTAACTGAGGGGTGAGGCTGGGGCTTAGTGGTAGAAGAGCTTGTCTTGCATGTGCTCAGGGTCTAATCTTTACTACCTCAAAACAAAAACAAACTAAATGAGACAGTTAAAGTGAATCTGTGGCACCTGAACTCATTAAATCTTTTTAAAAATTTTATTTTTATTTATGTGTATGTGTGTGTGTCTATGTGCAGGATATGCATGTGAATGTGGGTGCCCTTGGAGATCAGAAGAAGCTGTCAGAGCTGAAGTGACAGGCCATTGCGAGTCCCCTGATGTGGGTGCTGAAAACTAAATTCCAGTCTTCTGGAAAAGCAGCAAGTGGTCTTAATCACTGAGCAGTGTGTATGTGTGTGTGTGTGTGTGTGTGTGTGAGATGGTGCATGCGTAGCCGTCAGACAACAACTTTAAAAATATTTTACTTACTATTTTTATTTTATGTGTATATATGTATTGCCTGCATGTATGTAAGTGCACCCATGTCCTGCAATGCCTGCAGAGGTCAGAGGATGGCAGGTCAGAGGTCCCCTGGACCTGGAGCTTGTTGTTAACTGCTATGTGGGTGCCAGGAACTGAACCTGGGTCCTTTGTATGAGCAGCCGGTGCTCTTAATTGCTAAGTCATCTCTCCAGCCCCCAGAGAACAACTTTTGAGAGTTGGTTCTCACCACCATGTGGGTTCAGGAAATTGAACTCAGGTCTTTGACTTGGTGGCAAGTGCTTTTAACCTACTCAGCCATCTTGCCAGGCCAGAACTATTATTTTTTTGGTGGGTGGGGAAGGTGTAGAGAGGGGAGCAGATCTAAATGCCATCAAGCTGTACTGTATGAAAATGGCAAAAATTCAATAAAAAATGCAAAAATCCCAAACCAAACCAAAACCAAAACAAACAAAAAAGCAAAGCAAAACAAAAAAACCCAACAGGAAGAGAAGCCCTCAGGTTTGGAAGCACCTTTGTTTCAGACTGCTGTGGATTCTGGTGGGGGGTGGGATAGGGGAAAGAACGTGAAAGCGTCAAAAGCCACAGGTGTTATGCTTTTGTCTGAAAATGCTCTTCAAAAAATAATCTGGGGCTGGTAATACAGCTGTGGTGGAGTGCCGGCCTAGTGTTCCAGAGACCTTACATTTGATCCCCAGCTATGCAAACCAAACCAAACCAAACCAACCAACAAACCTGCACTATGTAAAACAGACAATCCAAATGGTATGTCCGTCCACAATCTTATTTAAGAGAGCACCGTTTGAAAAACAGCCGAAATCCATGAAACCTCCTTGCTGTACCATGAAAGGTGACGGCCGCAGGGGCTCGTTGTAGCCCAGAAAGCTGTTTGGGTTATAGAAAGCACAAGGCAGCTGAATGTCTGAGCCACGCTATGGCCTCTTCTAATGCTCAGGCTGGTGATGAGGAGCAGAAACTGTGATAACAGTTTGGAAAAAAAAAAAAAAGTAGTTTGTAGATGATTGAAGAAAGGAGAGAAATTGTAAAGGGAATAGTTCCTAAATGGTTGGCACAGAGTACACGGTTGTTTTCCTGCCCCTTGGTTTTCAAATTTCTGTGATGCGGTGGTGGATGTCTGTAATCCCAGCACTGGAGTTCAAAGTCGTCCTAGGCTACACAGCAAATATGAGGTCCATATAGGCTGCAGGAGACTCTGTCTCAAATAAAATAAAGGAAGAGGCTGTATACGGCAGTGCAGACTTGTAATCCCAGCTACTTATGATGTCAAGGCAGGGCATTACAAGTTTAAGGCCTATCTGGGCTATAAGTTAAGGCCATCCTGGGCAACTCAGCAAGACTTTATGTCAAAATAAAAAGCACTGGGACTACAGCTAGGGCCTATCATGTTCCAGGCCCTTGGTTCAATTTCCTTTGCTGAAAAATAAAAGGAAAAGGGACCCTTAAAAGAGAGATGAGATTAAATGGATCAAGTTCACTTTAGTTTCTATTTAATCATGGACCTAATTAAAGGACAATGACAAAGACAAGTTCGATAAAATAACTTCTTCCTCTTTGAGTTCTTTATCTCATTTCTCTGTGATGTTTAAAGCTCTTCTGCCTGAGATAATATAATTCTATTAAGTATGCATAGAATGTTTGAACATGTGTTTGTCTCTAAGGTATCCTAAGACTATAATGGCCATTCAAGTTTTTAAATGACTGTAAAATTAATGAAGAGCAGATCAGTGTGATTGCAAAAACATCTCAGGCATCATAGGATGGAAAAACAGTTGAAGCCTGGCAGCTGTTTGCTTGGGTCCAGCATCTCCTTAGGCTGGGATTCTCAAAAAAGCCTGGATGTGAGAGTTACAAGGGTATAGACAGGGTAAGTGAAAGGCCAACCGAAGGCTTGAGAGGAGTCCTCTAAGGGTCACTTTGGCTTGGTCACATGGGCAGCTGTGAGTCACACATCAGACTGGGCAGAGGGGAGCCGTAGTCTTTGACGACACACCTGTGAATCATTTGTCAAGAGCAGAGCTGTCTCCTGCCCTGTTCCCTTGATGGAGGGAGGGGTGGATTAGCCTCTGGGCACTTCTGGGTCACTGATGGTGACTAGAGTCCTTGGGCAGCAAAAATAACTAACCGTAAATACCTAAGCAAGTGGAAACTGGACAATCCTAACATTTCAAAATGATCAGAAAAACGAAGGGGGGATTTCACCCATGTGGGCCCTTTGTTCATGGCCATTTACACTCTGACCTGTTGAGCTGCCTGTAGGTTATGCAGTGAGCTCCAGATCCCCAGATTTTGTGAGCAGTCACCCATACTGGGGTGAGCTTTTGATGACGCAGCTGTCTTTGAGTCATTTCTGCTCTTGTAAAAAACCACTCAGCCATTTTCTTCTAAATAACCCCAGTAAAACTTCTTGGTTTGCCACGTTGGATTTTGGTGGCATTCTCTCTTTGGCCTGTTATTGGTTACCTATCCGAGGTGACAGGCTTGTTCACGTCGCCCCAGGAAGAGTGTCACACAACAGCTAAACAAGGACTCTGCCCTTGTGCCCACCCCTAGTCCTTTGCATAGTTTTAGTTTTGTTTCTCACACTCCTGATAGCTTATATTTTGTAACCCTGGAAGCCGTGAGTTCAAAGTGTGACGTTCATGGCAGCAGAGATCAAATCAACCCACCCCCAGGGCTGTTTTCACCACCAATGCAGGCAGTGCTGGAGCTGTCGTTAGCATCAAACCACAAGGGTTATCGGGATACAACACATTTGTCCTCAGTGAGGACTACAGGACATCTGTTATGTGTCTGTGACTGCTTACTTCAGAACTTACAGTTGGAGATGCAGATGAGGGAGCTGCATTGCAGACAGGGATAGGTCTGTTCAAAGAGAGTGACAATTTGAGAGATGCTGGGTGGTGCCTTTGACTTTAGAACTGAGTTTGAGAACAGCAAAGGGTGATTGTGTTATTTCTCTGTTGCTGTCATAAAACACCATGACCAAGGAAATTTACAAAAGGAAGACTTTATCTGGCTTACGATTCCAGAGGGACTGGGGAGGAATGGTGGCAGAGTTGTGCGGAACAGAAAGCTAAAGGATCACATCTCCAAGCAGGCACAGGAAGCAGGAAGAGACTGGACATCTGGCAAGGTTTAAGAACCCTCAAACCCTGCCCCCAGTGATGTACTTCCTCTGATCTGGGAGCACCTCCTAAAATCTAAAATGGCGCCACCAACTGGGAACAAAATGTCCAAATACTTGGAGCCTATGGGGGACATTTTTCAAACCACTACAGAGGTTCAAGTGGAATGTCATTGGCCATTGGAGATCCGGATGTAGAAGTTACTTAGGTTTGAAGACAGACAGAAGATGTAAGAACCGCAAAGTGTAGTTGATGCTGCAAGTCAACAGCTAACTGAGCACGTTAGGGTCCGTTCAGTCTTTGGTGGACCCACGAACCACTCTTTAGCATTTATTGTTTTGTAAGGCTGGGGACTCTACCTCAGGGTACTACATCTGCTAGGCAAGTGTTCTCCTGCAGAACGCTGTCCACAGTCCTATCAGAATTTTTTGTGAGCACGCAGCCATTTTTTACCATGAAGTTTAA